AAAAAAAAAAAAAAGAGTTAACCAATGGTCTAGCTGCCTAGTCTACTACTAATGTTCTGACTGGAAGCTATCATAAGTGGCTTTGAACTATGCCCTGATGGTTGTCTCAGTTCACACATTGCTGAAGTTTAACATTAACACTATCTTTGATATTATGACTAACTAGAGCCATTTATATTCTTCCCTGATATCTCTGGTCACCTTGAACAGTGCCCATTTCTCTCTTAGCACATTCTTGGGTTTATGGCACTAGTATGCAGGGATCAATTGCCACCTGTCAATAACAAGGCTTCAAGTGGAAAAAAGGATATGGCCTGGCAATTAACTGTAGAGAACAGAGTCAGTGATGATGTTTATGATTAGCATGATATGGTGGATTTGGGGCTGGGTTGGTAGTTTTTTTCCTTCAGGAGAGGGTAAAAAGAAGAGTAGAGAGCAATGCAGACCTTCATATGTGTGGGTCCAAATGCTCTATTTTAAGATAGCTACAGCTATTTTAAAACAGAGGCTATGATCTTTTCTGGATTATTTTGACCCTCCTCTGTTTCTCTTCTTAAGCTACTTGAAGCTCTGGGATAGTCTTCTAGATACCGGGCTTACCCTCTCATTCGACTCTCATGGCTCTTGCGGGGAGGAACGATGTCTCCCTGCCAATTAGAGACTCCTAAAATAGCATGGCAATTTGATCTATGGATCTGGGGGAATTGTTAAGGATCATGATTGACCTTCCCCCTTACTGTTGCCCAAGCTCCCTGAATAGCAGAAATCAAAATATTAAATTTGCCCAATGGAGTTTGATCAGCATCCAACAAAGTCCAGGAAGTGTGAGGAGAGAGTTAAAGAGCAACTAGGACCCTCTGTATGAAAACTAGAGTTGCCAAAGTCCCCTTCTCTATTTCAATATTCTCCACTTCCCTGTCTCAGCACTTTTTAAACACCCATAAGCTTCCCAGAATGAGTGGAAAGTTTCAGGGTCAGGGAGAGACGCTCCCCATCCCCCACTTTCCATTGTCTAAAATCAGCCTCAGCTGTTCCTCATTTTTTTCTTTCTGATGATGTCAGTCCATCAATGTGTCTCACCCTGTGTTGCCTCAGGAGAACAAGGATGGGATGGAGAGAGCTAGAAAGTCCATATTAGGAATAAGAGGTGGAGCAGTGGGCACAGATAAAGGCTCAAGCCTGGGGAACTTGGGCAGCAGCCCCTCCTTTGTGCCCTCCTCTCCAGTTCTCCAGTGTTCACAGGTAAGTCCAACAAGCCACTGCTCATGATGGAGGCAATCAAGAAAAAGATGCAGATGCTGAAGTTGGATAAGGAGAATGCTCTTGATCGGGCAGAGCAAGCTGAAGCTGAACAGAAGCAGGCAGAAGAAAGAAGCAAACAGGTAGGCACTGGCATTGGTATTTCTCAGGAGATTTTAAAAGATGAAAAAAGTGATTTCTGGTATCAGCTCCTTCTCTGGGTGGGAGGGACTCCCCAGACTCAATGAAGGCAGAGAACATCAAGGGTATCTAGATCAAGGACTGCCTAATAACCTTGGGAAAGTCAGTGTCCCCTTCCGCACCACAGCATGTCTACTGGATTTAATAGAAGTGAACCAGGTTTTAGAAGAACTCCCTACTTCTAGAGGGAAAGGTAAGAGTTTATCATACACTCTCTCTTTTAAATAGCACCATAGGCATCTTTATCCTTTAATATTTACCATCAGTGGGTTTTGGATACAAACTTTAGATAGTTTGGTCATATTAGGACTAGAGATTACAAGGTCACAGGTCAAACACAGTATAACTTCTGGAGCAATGGGCTGAAAGTAGTCAGAAAGCAAGTCTCCAGGAATGGTAACCTGGAGGCTGGGCTCAGGAGTCTATTAGAATCCCACTCTGCAGGGTTGTATGTATGTATGTATGTACATATATCTGTATGTATGACTCTCTGGGCCTCTATAGCTGGAAGATGAACTAGCAGCCATGCAGAAGAAGCTCAAAGGGACAGAGGATGAGCTGGACAAGTACTCTGAAGCTTTGAAGGATGCCCAGGAGAAGCTAGAGCTAGCAGAAAAGAAGGCAGCTGATGTAAGTATTAGAGATGGAAGATGAGCTTAATCTCCACGTATAGATCTCATATTAAAGTATGAGTACATTGCAAACACATTTTGACACATACAAACACACATTTGTGGGTTCACAGAACATAGGCTTAGACATCAAAATGCACTTCTATATATAAGAATGTGCTAGTATAGCTTCATAATGGCATACATTGCCTTTCTCAAAGACATGTTGGGGGTAGCACAGTGGTAGAGCACTTTGTTTGGCATACATGAAGCCACAGGTTTATCCTCGGCTTTGGAAAACAAAATGTAGCATCTCATTCTTAGCCTACTTAACTTCCCAGCATAGGGAATTAATGATCTTTTCTAGGACCTGAATAAAGAGAGGGGAATCCAAGACCACACTGCTATCATGTATCTTACCTCCTCCCCCTTGCCACATTCTTTAGCTTTTGTGTGCAGGGTTTGGCACGTAGATATGTGTATTAATAGGGAACATCTCATATCTCAACTGTCCAACAAAGCCAGCTTGTATTTCACAATGGGAAATGGAGGTCACATTGACCCTGGCCCTGTATGGGTATATTTATTTTGGCCATTGTGAGTGTCTGCTCTTATACTACAGAACAGCCATAAGAAATATAGTTCTTATGAGAACAGATAGGTCCCTAGAATAGAATATATTAGGGACTAAAAAGGAATCTTAGGAGTAAAGATACCACCACCAGACCTTACTCTATGATAAATTAAATACATCGGACTAATTAGATTCTATAGGGTTGATCTTTCACATTTCAAAATGAAATAAATTGCTTTTTCCACTTCATAACATCCTGTAATTTCCTTCATCTTCACCTTGAAGTTTAATGAAAAGACAAATGAAAATCAGGAGCTGGTGGCTCATGCCTGTAATCCCAGCTACTCATGAGGCTGAGATCTGAGGATCACAGTTCAAAGCCAGCCCAGGCAGGAAAGTCCAGAAGACTTTTTTTTTTTTTTAAACCAGGGCTGAGAACCGAACCCACGGCCTTGCGCGTGCCAGGCGGGCGCGCTTCCGCTGGGCTAAACCCCCAGCCCCGTCCAGAAGACTCTTATCTCCAACTAACCACCAGAAAACTGGAAGTGGTGCTATGGCTCATAGTGGTAGAGCACTAGCCTTGAGCTGAAGAACTGAGGGACAGCATCCAGGCCCAGAGTTCAAGACCCACGACTCACCAAAAAAAAAAAAAAAACGATAGATGAGATGAGAGACTATATAGAAAAAAAGTGATGTTGTTTGGTAGTCATGGAGCTTGAACTGCTTGCTTGCTACACTATACATTCTAGCACTTGACCCATACTCAGCCTTTGAAAAAATTATTATTATTATTTTTAAACCAGGCCTTACTATGTAGCCAAGGCTGTCCTGGAACTCTTGAAATCTTCCTGCCTCTATGTCCCAAGTACTGGGATTATAGGCATGTACCACCACACCTGGCATAGGAGAATTGTTTTGGCATAGGACTATTTTTCTTGGGGGAAGGATGTTGTAATTAAACCTTCTCACTGAAACTGTACCCCTATCCCATAGTAGTCTTAACAGTAACAAAAGAATAGAATGTCACAGTATTGATGGAAATGCGGTCACTTCCTAGAGAAGTGAATTGAGAGAAAATCGGCTTGTATTATTTAAAAATCAAAAAAAAATATGGAAGGTCAGAGCTCACCAATCACAAATATTTTTGGAGGGCTGGGAAGATGGCTCAGTGGTAGAGTGCTTGTCTTGCATGCCTGAGGCCCTGGGTTCGATTCCTTAGCACCATATAGCAAAAAGAAAAAAAGCCGGAGATGGCGCTGTGGCTCAAGTGGTAGAGCGCTAGCCTTGAGCTGAAGAGCTGAGGGACAGCGCCCAGGCCCAGAGTTCAGGCCCCACTACCGGACCCCAAAAAAATATATATTTTTGGAATCTAAGATTCAGTCTCTGCCATTATGTTTCTAGACTTCCTTTAGACTTTCCACCATTTTCAACGACTCAAGGAAGTATCAAGGATTGAATACATGGTGCCATAGATTAGAAACACAATTGAATGTACACACATTATGTACACTCATGGCTTCCAAAAGTTTCAGTTATTTAGTCATTGCAAACTATTCTGTTTCCAGAAACCTGAAATTAAGCAAAACAATAGCCCCTTTGGGGCTGGAATGTGGCCTAGTGGTAGAGTGCTTGCCTAGCATGCATGAAGCCCTGGTTCAATTCCTCAGTACCATATAAACAGAAAAAGCTGGAAGTGGCACTGTGGCTCACATGATAGAGTGCTAGCCTTAAGCAAATGAATCTCAGGGACAGTGCCCAAGCCCTGAATTCCAGCCCTAGGACTGGCAAAAACAAACAAACAAACAAACAAGCAAAACAATAATCCCAGAAGTCACCCCAATAGCTTTGAGCAAGTAATTAATAGTTTGCTGGAGTTATCAAGTCTAACAGGAGGAAATAAGTTTTCTCAGATGAGCACAATGTTAGTTTTGTGAGAGGTTAGGTTCACAATTCTCTGAAACACAATATGTAGGTTTAAGGAGGTGTGCTAAGACATGAGAAAACAGTTTTATGTGTGATTTTGGAAGAGAGATAGTAACAGAGGCTCTAGACAATATATTAACATCATCAGGAAGATTGAGGGGTGAAGTATTCTTGCCTTAAGATCTTTTACAGGGCTGGAAAGGTGGCTCAGTGGTAGAGTGTTTGCCTTGCATGCATGAGGCCCTGGGTTCGATTCTTCAGCACCACATAAGCAGAAAAAGCCGGAAGTGCGTTGTGGCTCAAGTGGTAGAGGGCTAACCTTGGGCTGAAGAGCTGAGGGACAGTGCCCAGCCCCAGAGTTCAGGCCTACAACCCACAAACTAACAAACAAAAAACAAACCCAAAAGATATTTTAGACAAACACACTCACATGTTATGCTCTTGGATAAAGAATATGTTTAGGCAAAGGGATATACCTAAACATGGTGTACTAAACATGTTTAGTTGAAAGACGTTTCCTTATATTTATATAGGAAACCATTAAAATGCATTCATATATGTAAAGTATTGGTTTAAAAAAAAAACAGTATTGAACCCATCTTCCCTTTGTTAATTTTTCTACCAAGTCACTAAGTATCAAGAAATAGGAAAGAGCCGGGAGCTGGTGGCTCACGCCTGTAATCCTAGCTACTCAGGAGGCTGAGATCTGAGGATCGCAGTTCAAAGCCAGACCGGGCAGGAGAGACCATGAGACTCCTATCTCCAATAAACCACCAGAAAACCGGAAGTGGCGCTGTAGCTCAAGTGGTAGAGCGCTCGCCTTGAGCTGAAGAGCTGAAGGACAG